GACCAACACCCCCAGGTCCTTTTCCGCCAGGCAGCTTTCCAGCCACTCTTCCCCAAGCCTGTAGCGCTGCATGGGGTTGTTGTGGCCGAAGTGCAGGACCCGGCACTTGGCCTTGTTGAACCTCATACAGTTGTCCTCGGCCCATCGATCCAGCCTGTCCAGGTCCCTCTGCAGAGCCTTCCTACCCTCGAGCACATCAACACTGCCGCCCAACTTGATGTCGCCTGCAAACTGACTGAGGGTGCACTCGATCCCCTCGTCCAGATCATTGATAAAGATATTGAACAGAACTGGCCCCAATACTAAGCCCTGGGGAACACCGCTCGTGACCGGCTGCCAAATCAGCTTCATCTTCTAAGGAAAGAGAATGATGGGAGTTCTGCGGCTGCTGGCAACGCCACAAGAGCACTGCCAGCATCCATGAGCTTTCTTTTGCCCTTTGGCTGCCCACCTCTGTGTTACGGGGTCCCACCTGCTATTCAGAAGTAGATTAAGCCTTCCTGAAAATGAATAGGTTTAACAGAGCACAAAATGACTTTGAATCCGCCACGTCCAGGACATCCTACAACCTGGGTCCTTTCGCCAGGCTTCCAACAACTGATCATCTAGGTCAAAGCACCTCCAGGGTATGCTTAATCCTGCTCTGGACACGAGGTGAGCAAGCACATACTCTTTACACGTTGAGGTTTTAGTAGCTATGTGTGTACGGGGGAAACAACACTCTATAGGCATCTGTCCTCCTTCCATGCCTGAAAGGAAAATCCTCTCCTTTCAGCACTGAAGCACTAACTTCAAAATGTTAATTTGCCATCTTTTTTAGTGAAGACAATAGTGAGAAACAGTTCAGCACAGGTACTTTATCCCCAAAACAAAGGCAAATCAGGGCTGTCCAGGAATTTGAAAGCTCTGGGTGGAAAGTATTTTGCAGAGTTTTCTGTTTCTGTTCTATTGAGTGAGGTGTATATACCTGAGAGGGGAAAAGCATATGTGCAGCTGAGCTCAGAAGGGAGGAAGCTCCTGCACAGCTGAGACAATCGCAGTTGTGGTGCCGGATCAGGTCTTGAGAGGGCTACACCGAACTCCGCTCTTCTCCTGCCGCTTACTCTTGACCATTGCCACAAGTAAGGGCTGAGGCTGGGTGGATCAGTCCTAACGCAAAAGATCAAATCTGGTCTGAAATGCAGGAGCCCAGAGCTAGGTCAGCTCAGCTGGGCCCTTTTCTCTATTTCTGGGACCGTCAGATGCAGGAAGGTGCGTACTGGCTTGCTGACTATTGGAACAGAAAAATGTGCCGCAGAGCTGAGGTGCTTTCTTATCCTGACTTACTGAATGCCTGTCCCACTTTCTTCACCCATGGCGATAGCAGACTGTGCTAGGGTCTGCTGATCACGCCTGTCCCATTTTCTGCCTTCCCAGGGTCATAAACAATTGTGATCACCAAATAACTCCAGCTCGTCCCCCTGTTAGGTTAAGCATCCTGTTGATGAATCACAAAAGGGTGACGACAGGCTAAAAAAATTTAAATTGGTTAAAAATTCAGACTCCCTCTGCTAGCAGAGGTGCTGGCGTGGTGGCGAGGCTCTCTTCACAACGCATGCAGCCTGCCTTCTGGCCAGTTACATCTCCTCCATGCAGGATGCTGCATCTGGACTTTACAGCTCCTCTACGTGGCTACACATGCTTTCACAGCGGGATCTATTAGCACCAGCCGCCCCCCCCCTTGCAGAGATCTGAAAGCGTGCCACCTTTTGGCACAGGAATGCAGCCTGCTACCCCCAGAGGAAATAAAGACAAAATCCTGGCCAAAGAGGGAATCATGAGAACAGAGCTAAGGTTATGACTTTCTAAATGTTTATCTTCAGTCTGCATTTGATGTCCGGATAACAAGGCGACCAGTCTCTCACAGAAACCTAAGGCAGGTTAAACACCACAGAGGAAAACAGTGGCTTTCCTGAGCTGCAGGACCTCGCCATTCCCCACTCGCAACCTCTTGTGGCTGAGGTTTTCATGCAGTGTCTCTTCCTAAGCCCTTCAGATCTGAGCTTTAAGTATGGTCGATACAGCTGCACTTCTTTTTTATTTCTGAAAAGAATGGCTTTCCCTTTGTACTGTTTGCATTTTGTCATGCTGCTTTTGTTCACTCACCGTTTTCCTGAGTTTAGTAAAGAAGCTGTCTGTGAAAACAAGAACAGAAAAAAAGAAAATTATCAGACTTCCTTTTTTTTATATATGGTGGAGAGATTTTTTAAAGGCAGAGAGGGGAGTCTATCGGGTTGTGCACCTAAGTACTATTTATGCCCTTGAAAATCTTTTGCTTACGGTGCTTAATTGGTCTGTGCAAATCTATTGCCAGAAGAGGTAATTGACCATTTTTATAGAAGGACCAGTAACAAAAACGCTCCAGGCTATTGTTCTAGAAATTAAAAAAAAATTAGGAATTATGGAAAGAATATGTTTCAGGGCATCAGCCAGCCTCTCCTGAAACTATGCAAATTCACTTGGTGAAAACAACAGCAGACACAATGAAATGAGTTGTATATGAAGAACTGAGATCTCAAATGTGATATTATGCAGAAGGTAAAGAGTCTGTACTAGATAAGTAACAGCTCAATGTGTTATCAAGGGTGCACTTTGATTTTGATGAATGTTAAAAGAACCTTTAGCCTTGAAAATAAAGAGGATAATTTCTCTCTAGGCAATGGCTGCTCATGAAAGTCATAAAATAAGAGCACTGGAGCCCTAATTTTATAGTGCTTTTTAAATGATTTTCAAATGGTCCAGCTGCTTTGTGCCACAATAACACAAGGCAGAGATATTTACGCCGGCGATAACAAGCATGCATCAGCCTGCCCGAGCTGCTCTCCGCAGGCAGCCTGCGTTAGGCGAAACACACGTGGAAAGCTGATACTTGCCAATGTGGATTGATCACAATTACACCGTGGCTAGAGCAATCCCGGGAAGCCGCTTTTTCCACCAGGCAACTCGATTGTTTTTCTTGTCTGTGTCTCGCCTGCGAAGCACGGGATGTACGTGGATGGCGATGCTGGTTCTATTTTGACACTTGAGAGCCTGCCAGCTCTGTATGCCTCTTAGGCCATACCGTCCTTGGCAGACTTCTCTGTTCGGAAATAGGAGGGCGAATTCAGCCCTGGGTTGCGCCGCTGGTTTTTGGTGGGAGTTTCCCCAAGGATTAATTTGTCCCCAGTGTTGGTGTTCTGACGTTGCGCTGTGTTATCTTGCACAGAAACGCGCGCGTGCGGCAAATGAACTCTGGGCAAATGCTACGTAGTTCTGCTGAGATGCTGGAATTGCCACCAGCATCTTTCCCCAGGCATTTTACTTCTG